ACATTATAAATGTCTTTACTGTCACTTTTGATCAATTGAATGCATCTTTGCTGAATAAAAGTATTCATTTATTTTTTGTCTTTTTTACCTCAAACTTTTTAATGCTAATGTATCATATGAAGCAGCACAGCTGCTGAAAATTCAGCCTTGATCACAGCAATAAATGACAGTTTACAATATATCCACATAGAAAACAGCGGTTTGAAATTATAATATTTCAAATGTTTACTGTATTTTGATCAAATAAATGCAGCCTGATAAGCATAAAAGACTTCTTTCAAAAACAATAATCTTACCAGTAGTGCACATATCCTAAAAGTGAATAACAGTGCTTGAAAGGCAATAAAACTAGCGACACAGGAGAAAAAATATCTAATTTTTCTAATCTAATTCATCAGGAATTGATTGGATGCTGAAAGGTGGATATTAAAAAGCAGAAGTGAGTTGAAATCTGCATCACTTCCTCTAACAGCATTTGAGACTGAATCTCTTCATGAATACAAATGAGCCCTGAGTGTGTGTGAGAGTGTGTGTGTGAGTGTGTGTGTGAGAGTGTGTGTGTGTGTGTGTGTGTGTGTGTGTGTGAGACAGAGATTTCCCCAGCGATACGGCAGCTTTTCATCACACTCATCCACAGGTCACACCACCTCTGATGCTTTTATCAAATAATGACACTGAAAGCGATTAACCGTCTGAAAGGAAGCGGAAACAGTCTTCAGCAGCGCGAGCAGAATGTGAGTGTGTTTAGGACCGGACTGTAATTAGGTGGTTTGTGTGTGTGTACCTGTACTGCAGGGCCAGTCTGAGCGCGGTGGCGTTGGACTCGTATTTCCCCACCAGCATACTCATCCGCTCGGCGTTAGTCTTACACTCCTCCAGCGTGATGGTCAGCAGATCGTTCTGAGACTTCAGGTGCTCGATACGACTGAAACACACACAGCAATCATGATCAGAGAGATGCACAGGATCCCTACATAGTGTTCACTGCTCCCTACACACTCAGTATAGGGATATCTGAAGATGTTCACTTCAGCTGACAAAACACATTCGTTTGGGACGGTCTGCAATGACAAAGACAACACTTGAGGAGCACAAATTCGGTATTTTCTGTATAATGCAATTTCAGTAATATTTATATACTATTATAGCATGTATTAATATTTTGAAGTAGCTTTTTTTTCAATTTTCCTTTTAATTTTAGTTTAAGTGTGAGCAATTTTGTTATGTGCTTGTCGTTTTTATTGTTTTTTTATTATTTCTATTAAGCTTATTATTTCAGTTTGAGTCTGTCATTTTAGTACTTCAATGCAAACTTTAAAAACTTAAACTTATTTAATTTGATTGAATTTTATTTAAGTTTTAGTCATATTTTTATGCATGTTTGTCAGTTTTATTTGTTTTTGTTTTTTAAAATATTTCTATTTAGGTTATTTTTATTTCAGTTTGAGATTTAGTCATTTTAGTACTTCAGCTTAAAAAATTACATAAATTTTATTTCAGTTCATTAAATTTTAAGTTTTGTAGCTCATTTTATTTTATTTAGCTCATTTTTATTTCAGTTTGTTTTAGTCATTTAAGTACTTCAACATTTAATTTAATTTCAATTACATTTGAATTTTTTATAATTTTTATTAGTTTTAGTTTTTAATAATTCTATTTAGCTTATTTTATTTTTAGTTTAGTACTTCAACATTTTAGTACTTCACCTTCGACTTAATTTCATTTCAGTTTTAGTAATTTTATTATCTGCTTTTGTCCTTTTGTTAGTTTTTTATATTTCTATGTAACTTTAATTTATTTCCATTTCAGGAAATATTCTCTGCGGAGAAACACGTAACTGAGTGAAGTTCACTTCGAGTGATTGGAGTGAATCCTATGGTTCAACAGCAGATCTTCTCGCTCTCTAACCTGTTGAGTCTCTCCGTCTCCACCTCGAACTCGCGGATCTTGCTCTCGGAGATGGCGGATCCGTGCGAGTAGAGCGTCTGGAAGATCTCCTGGATGTTGGAGCAGTCCTGAAGGGAATGAGCCAGGTGTTCAGCCACGTTACTGGACACCTGAGGAGACACACAGAAACAACACTAAACCAGCAGATCAGTGCGCTTCGACACCGCTGTTACTGCACTCAAACCCTGATACTCCTCTCACTGCATTTCATTTGTCTTCCCCACAATGTCTTGCAACTCATTCAACTCACCCCGATGCTGCTGATTTCAGAGCCGAGGATGGATCTCTCCGCTGGCAGCGATTCTGAGCGCGTTTTCGACAGCTTCACTCGCTCCGCCACCTGCCACAAACAAACACACAAACAAACACACAGACACACACACACACACACAAACACACACACACACACAAACAAACAAACAAAAACACGGTCAAACATACAGTATGAGCATTATAAAGTGCAGCCTTGTTTAAAGCAATACTTCTGTTATTTTATATCAACCTGTGTGAGTTTTTTTCTGTGAAACACACAAGGTACATTTTAACTTAAATTCTGACCCTCATTTCAAACAACAAAACTTAAGGACTGGAGCTGTTAAACTCTACAATGAAACGACACAAAGCATCACATAACAGAAAAGCATCAGACCACTGAAAAAAAGAAATAATAAAATTAAATAATAAAAAATAAAATTAAATCTACTATCACTATTATGCTCTTGATCAAGACACTTAAAGTAGTCGTACTTTAGCCGGGACAGCTTCTTAATGTTTACAGACGTGACGTAATGACGCAGTGCCATGCTGGAATTTCCCGCTAAAACCTACCCGTACCACTCAAATTAGAAAACATTATTATAAGCTAACCGTTGTGAATCGGGCTAAAGTAAGGTGATAGTTTTGAACACTGGCTGGTTATGTACTTGCTCAAATATTGATTTCAGATCATTTTTAACCAAAAAAAGTTTAACTTTAACTAAAATGAAAAACTATTTTAAAAAATGTATATCATAACTGAAATAGAATAGATTAAAAAAATTATTTATTTTATTTCAGCTAGTTGCCAAGTCACCATCTTTCATTTTCATTTAGTTTGTACTAACTTGTATTAAAATAACAAAAAATAAAATAAATAAATCAATGGCTTTAACAAAGAGCTATGAAGTACTTTGGCGACGGGGATGTCGTTGCTGCTGCTGCTGGTGCTGAGTTCTCCGGTGCTGGGGTTGATGGGACGTCCCGCTGCCGTCAGACGCCCAGGACTCGACGGAGCGCCGGGCTGAACGCTTTGGAGACGCGTCTGCAGCTCTCGCACCTGCAGGGACGGAAACACACCTGTCTGTCAAAACACCGGCCGGGACGCTCAAGTCCGTTTTTCCATCTTCAGAGTTCAGAGAACAGCTCCAGAGCTAAATCTAGAGGCTGAGGTTTGCTCAGCATCTGACCTCATGTGGCTTCAGTTCAGTCTATATTACAGACAGCAGAAGCCACAATGATCACAGACCTCTCATCCAATACATGAGGAAACACACACACACACACACACAGAGACACACACACACACACCGCAGCGCTGGGTCAATGAGTGCACTGAGAAACAGAAATCAACCTTTTCTGAATTGCAGTGAAATAAATGTGCCTCAGAATTGATTTTCAAGGGCATTTTTGTTGTGAACACACTTGTGTTTGTATCGGGCAGCGCTCAGGTCAGCCGTCCCAGAGCGGCATCTGCGTGATGTTGGCAGCGATTGTGAATTTCTCAAGGCAAATAAAGCTTCTCCTGCCAGTGGAAAAGCTGCCAAAGGACAAATAAAGGACTGAATCCTGAACGAATGCACCTCACACACACCGACACAACATCAGACTGAGCTCAGTGCTCTCAACGCCTCTAGAGCTCTTAGTGTTATTATTATTACATGAGCCGGATGAATAACTGATTCAGAACACATGGAATCTGAGTTTACAGATCATTCACAAAGTTATCTGACAATCAATAGGAGTGTAACCTCATTTTACAAAAAAACAACAAAAAAAACTCACAAAACATCTACAGGTCACATTAACAAAAAAAAAACATCTATGAATAAATACATAAATCTACAGGTCACATTAAAAAAATTATAAAAATGAAATAAAATAAAATAAAAAAGATATATATTTAAAATCTCATAAAAACATCTACAGGTCACATTTAAAAAATAAATAATAAAATTTTAATCAGTTGGGTTCCTAAAGCAAAAGCGTTTGAGAAGCTCTGATGTGTTTGCACTGAAACATCCCTCCATCAGCCGCTCGAGCCATCAGCTCTTAACAAAGAGAGAAAACATCAATATTTAACTTAGCGGTTCAATGCTGTTCGTCCTCGCGGTCTGTAATGGACAGCAGCGAGTGTGTAAGTGTTTGTTTGTGACTTAGATGGATAACGGCAGCATTAAAGCGGCACACACACACACAAAGACACACACACACAAAGACACACACACACAGACAGACAGACAGACAGACAGACAGACAGACACAGACACAGACACAGACAC